GCCTCTCTCATCTTTTTAAGTGGGAGAACTTGCACAATTGGTGGCTGGCTAAATACTTTTTTGCCCCACTGTATATTTGCACTATCTTCTATTACATAGTCAAAAGAACAGCAAAACTTGTTAAGTATTTGTAAGCATAAGGAAGAGACTCTTGTCTAAGAGGTTTTTTGGCAACTGCAATTGACTTGATCAACAATAGACATTACAGTAAATTATTCCTTGTGTTATCAATTAACATAAATTTTATATTACATATTTTTTTCTTACATCCAGTAAAATCCAACACGGGGTTTCATATAGTGTGGTGGTGTTGTTTTTCATTTCCAGGTCATCATTTTAAAGCTCATAAAGCTGTTCTTGCTGCCTGCAGTCAGTTTTTCTACAAATTCTTCCAAGACTTCACTCAGGAGCCTCTAGTAGAAATTGAAGGTAATTTATGGATTCAATTATATACAGAAGTACTAGGGGATGAAAGGGCTCATGATACTTCAAAGACCGTGCACTCTGGTGGACATAATATCATACCAGGATTGCAAGGAAAAAAGAGTGGACTGTGGTTTAGCTCTAGGCAACTTTTCCTTATACTAGTTCTTACTCCTGGATTGTGCAGTAAAGTTTAATTAATCTTGGAAGTTAACCAAATATGTAAGGCTATTCAGACCTTTCACTTCCCCTGCAAGGCAAGAGTCTTGTCTCTTATCACACATTGCTCCAAACCCAATATTCTCCAGTTTGGAAGTGCAAGGCAGAGAGCAGTGATAAATCCAGTTGTTGCATTGGGTTGTCAAGAAACTTAGAGGACTCCAAGGCCCAGAAGAGATGGCTTGCTCTCTAACTGCAGACTGAAAAGGAATACAAGGATTTATAATTCAGCCTGGTTTTGCTGCTGTTGCATTTTTCTTTGTATCATCCAGCCTTGCAGTTTGAGTGCCTTTTTCTTTTACTGTATCTTCACTGGCTGCATTTTTAAAAAACTCTTGCTTGGTTGACTCTAATTGGACATTGTTTTTGTTTGTTAAGATATTTCTATTTTGATGCTGTTTTATATTTTCTGTGAGACTGTTATTAATTGTTATAAACTATCCCTGTGATTCAAATCCATTTTCTAGATAAAATCAATTTGTGATCCAAAGAATTATTCTGGCTGGTGAAATAGAATTTGCCACCTTATAGTTCTGTCTCAGTCCAGTGAAGCATTACTTCTTCTCGGAGAATGTTTTTAATTTGGAGAAAAGATAGTTACCTTTTCTCCAAATTAAGTGATTATCCTGGAGTAAAAATACCTTGCCAGAAGTCTGTCATCCCTTCCTTCCCAGTCTTTCATGGCTGTTGTGAAAGAACCTTCAGTTTCACTAATTTCTAAAGGCCAAGTCTTAGAATTTGCATTAAATACCGCACCACCACTATAGTAGGTCTGGGTTCCTGCATTTTCATCTTGGTCCTATGGCAATACATAAAGTGAGCAAGCAAGCAAGCCTTTAGTAACATATTAGTAAGTTTGAGTTTTAAATGTTTTATGTAATATTTATCCATTTATTTGTTAGCTGTTTTATCTAATGCCTAACTGTAGAGTTCTTGGGGTTCTCTGAGTTGGTTATTTTCTTGCAGATTACCCAGCTAGGTAACATTTTCAGTGCTGGAAGGGAGTGGGGTTTGCTCTCTGTTTATATATAGTAGTTTACCCTGTCAGTGTTGGAGGGGGTGTTGTTTTTTTCTTGGTTGTTCCTAGATTAGGCTGTTGTTTACTGTTGATTGTTTGAATTGGTAGTTCCTTGATTGTTTACTGCTTGATTGTTTGTCTGGTGTTAATCCTGGTGTTAATCCCTGTTTATCTGGGTGTTGAGTGCTGGTGAGCAGGTGTTCTGGTCTTTTTGTTTCCTTTTTATTGTCTCTTCTGAATGGTGTGTAAATGTTTATCTCTATGTGCCTGTTAATGGCTGACTTGTCTGAATACCAAGCTTCCAAGAATTTCCTCCTGTTTTTAGATTTAGCTTGGTCTAAGATGCTGACAGTTTCCCAGCTGAAACTATGGTTGAGTCTGTCCATGTGTTGTGAGATTAAAGCGTTTTTGTCATGTCTTCTGATTGCTAGTTGGAGTTCATGGATGCGCTCTGCAAGCCTTCTGCCTGTCTGTCATACACAGTGGTTGTTACAGTCCTTACACTGTATGTTGTAGAGGATTCCTGTTTTTTCTCCTTGGGCTACTGGGTCTTTTGGTTTACTTAAGATGTTTTGGAGGGGTTTAGTTGGTTTGTGTGCTACAATGATGCCGTGTGGTTATAGTAGTTTGTTGGTTGTTTCTAAGACGTTTCTGATGTATGGCAATGTTATCCTTTTCATAGTTGTGCTGTAGTGGGTTGAGTGGTCAGGCACTTTTTGATAAAGTTGCATGGATATCCATTTTGTTGGAAGATGTTGTATAGGTGGTCTGTTTCCTTTTTCTGCTATTCTGGGTTGCTGCAGTGCTGTGTAAGAACATTATTCAGACTAGCACGAACACACTACCAACTCAGACAAACAATCAAGCAGTAAACAACAGCCTAATCTAGGAACTACCAAGAAAAAACAGAGCAAACCCTACTCCTTTCTAGCACTGAAGATGTTACCTAGTCGGCTAATGAAACGTCTGCAAGAAAACAATCAAGCTCAGAGAACCCCAAGGACTTTATAGTTCAACCCTGAGCTACATATATTCTATTAATGCCAAACTTTTAGATTATATCTAAGATTAGATATCTAGATAAGATTATATCTGTACTTTGATATTTTGGTCTTTTGGCTCTAAATGAAAATTACAGGTAGTCCTTGGTTAACGACAACTCATTCAGTGGCCATTCGAATTATGACAGCGCTGAAGGAGTGGTGGTTACGACTGGTCCTCAAAGTTTTGGCCGTCCCAGCACCACCGCTAGGGGTGATCATGTGATCGTGATTTTCAACCTTCCGTGCCGGCTTCCCACAAGCAAAGTAAATGGGGAAACTGGTAGGGAAGATTGCAAGTTGCTCGGGTAAGTCTCCCCCACCCGTGCACCTTCCCCCAGCCCCTCTGCACTCGTGCCGCACCTCGCCAGCCACATGCACACCATCACACACCCTCCCTGAGCCTTGCTGCACTTGTGCTATGCTTCGCCCACCCGCCCTCATGCAGCCTCCCTGAACCTCACTGCACTTGTGCCGCACCTTCCTAGCCACTTGCACACTGTCTCCCACCTGGCAGTAGCCACTCCAAGCCCCACTGTGCACCTCTCCTGCCACCTGTCCCCTCATGCACCTTCCCTGGGCATCGCTGCCCTTGCACTGTGCCTTCACGGTCACTCACACACTCTCACGCACCCTCTCCCACCTGGCAGCAGCCACCCCACGCCCCACTGCACTCACACCATGCCTCCCCAGCCACTTGCACACTCTCTCCTACCAGGCAACAGCCACCCCAGGCCCTGCAGCACTCATATTGTGCCTCTCCTGCCACTTGCTCACCCTCGCGCACCCTTTCCCACCTGGTAGCAGCCACTGCAGGCCCTGCCATGCTTGGCCATGCCTCCCCAGCCACCTGTGCACCCCTTGCTCCTTCTCCCACCCAGCAGCAGCTACTCACCTGCTTGCAGGCTGCTTGCAAACCCCCTGGGACTTGCAACTTCCTGCCAGCTTTCCCACTGACTTTGGTTGTTGGAAGCTGGCAGGTAGTTGCGAGGAGATGCTTGTTTAACAACCCACAATTCTCACATAGGGATGGCAGTGGGGACTGCAGGGATTGCTGTCACTGTGGTCACATGACATCATCCTTTATGACTACATCACTTAGTGGCGGAAATTCCAGTCCCAGTTGCCTTCATAACTCGAGGACTACCTGTATTATTATATATAACTACTTCTGTGTTTCTAGGCTGAGAAATAAGAGGTTTTGTAGCTGAGAGAAAGCAATAGTGATAGCTATTTTTCTGCCTTCCCCACCATGTTTCCTAATAATTGACATGCTTTATTCAATAGCAATGGTTTACAAAGAACAGCCTGTTGCAGATCTTCAACTTTGCAGTGAAGTAGGGATTCATCAGAACTCTGATTAGAACAGTCTATAATATAGAAATCTACAAAGGCCTCTTAGAATTCGAGGCCTTTACCTTCATTATTGCTTATACAACACAGTAATATTTAAAAGAGAAGAAATGGACTCTATTTTGCAATCAAAATATAAGATGAAATTATGAAACTTTCAAATAATGGGATGTAATAGTTCCATTCTGGTTTACATTGGTGAAATTCTACCTTGAGTATTGTGTCCCTATCTGGTTAGCACTCTAAGAACAGTCCAGACAAATTGGGATAGATTCATAGAGGAGCAGTGAAGATAATCAGAGAACTGGGAACTTGTCCTATGAAGTCAGACTGAATAAGCTTACCATATTTGGTCTTGAGTACAGAAGCTGAAGGAGGGGTGTTACCTTTCAAATATTGGAAGGGATGTCCTACTGAAGAAAGCCAAGGCTTATTTTCCTTCATTCCAGAATGCAGGACATGGAATATTGTGTTTAAATTACAAGGAGGCAGATTCCAATTGATGGCTAGGGCAGCTTTTTTAATAGTAAGAACACTTTTCACAATTAACCAGAAAGGTGGTAGGCTACTTGGAGTAGAGATGTTCAGGCACAGGCTGGATAATTGACTGTTGTGGGGATTTGTCTTCAAATTTTTGTATTCCTCGTTAGATGCATTCTGGAGTGGGTCTAAATGGTCCTTTTCAGATCTGTAATTGTACAAAGTTGCCTTCATTTATTGTCTTGCAAAATTTAGATTTCTGTTTTCATTCCATTGTGGACTATTAGATCACTAGCTATTTTTGAAAACCCTGATTTGTAGTTCAAGAGGAAGAAAGAAGGCCCTGGTCCAATGGTGGAACAGTAACCAGTTTCTAGTACATCGGTACCCGCTACTTGTTGGGATTCTTACAGATGCCATATAATGTAAATATTTGATCCAGCAACAATTCTTATATTCTTGAGCAAGAATACATAGTCACAATTTTATCAAAATTAATCTTAACATAACTGTTAGTTCCTGCCTAAGAATTCTTAATAGATTTAAGCAAACTAATTCTATAGATCAATTATATTATTATTGCTGTTGTTGTCATCTTCAAATCAGTCTTAACTCCTGGTAACTTCATGGACATGCGGTTTTCTAGATAACATTTTTGAAAGTGTTTTACTCTTGCCTTCTTCCCACGGTTGAGAGAGAGTGACTGGCCCAAAGTCACCCATTTGGCTCCTGTGCCTAAGGCAAGATTAGAACTCAGGCCTCCCTGTTCCTAGTTCAGGGCCTTAACCATTAGATCAAACTGGCTCTCATTTATTATTATCAACCCAAATCAATCCACTGCAGGATGAGGGCCTTTTCACTGAAGGTTATGGGTCATAATCTATTACACCGGTCCAGTACAAGTTGATGGATTGCTTTTAACCTCTCTGAGGCGAGAGAGAGAGTAACTGGCCAAGGTCACCCAACTGGCTTCCATGCCTAGGTCCTTGGTCTCCCTGTTCCTCATGTAGCACCTTTACCACTATATGACACCGGTTCTCAGACAGATTACATACTGAATATTTATATAAAAGTAGACCCCCAAAATAACTGAAGTCAGCCCATCCTTGCTTTGGATATCAATATAGAGGTAAATGTTCTCATTCTGTTCTGATGCTACAAATCTATAATGAATTTTTTTTCCTATTTAGAGATTTTATACCTTTTAATTTTGAAATATAGGAAATGACCACGGTTGCGGCAAAATGCTGGATCTAATGTTCCTGGAAAGCAATTCTTATGAAACAAATATTTAGATTTTTCCAGCAACAAATCTGTGCAAAATGTATGAGCTAGTTCTATATTTTGTTTTTTGCCCATAATCAGGTGTAAGTAACATGGCCTTTCGTCATTTAATTGAGTTTACATATACTGCAAAACTAATGGTCCAAGGAGAAGAGGAAGCAAATGATGTCTGGAAAGCAGCTGAGTATCTTCAGATGTTGGAAGCCATTAAAGCACTTGAAATCAGGTGAGTGTGGTCAAATTCCAGTCAGATAATTGTCTTTTTGCTGTCTTCCCAGGAATATTAAGACTTCATTCACTTTTGACATGTTATACAGTGCTGCTGAGGACTTTTTATATATACACCTTGCAGGGGTTAACCTGTGTTTGCTGCTGAAAATGCAACTTGACAGGAAGGGACACCCAGTTCTTGCTCCCAGGAAAATCTGTGAGGTTCATTCATTTGTCTGCATATTCTTTTTCAAGCGCATGTTTCCGCTCTGAAATATGTGGACCTGAAAAACTACAATGTATAATTGGGCCGTAATAAAAGCAAAATCCAGATTCTTGAATAGCTTGAAGGCACGTAGGCTGTGTAATAAACTAGACTTTATGATGCTGTAAGTTGAAACAATGTGCATTAAGATTCTAGAATCTAGTGTTATATGCAATAAGCTGAGATGAGGAACTAGTGGCACTCATGATATTGTTGGCCTTCATTTTCCATAGTCTCTGATAGTTGGCCATGGTGACTGAGATTGAGGACAACTGAAGTCCAACAATATCTGGATGGCAGGAGGATTCTACCTCTGTGATAGTGGATAAGCTTCTGTGTGCAGTTTTAATGTTTGTAGAATAAAATTCTGTTGAAAGCCAAGCACTACTATTTAATGTTTTGCAGAATGCAGAAGAGACATGGTCTCCCTTCAGAGAGCTTGCAGTCTAAATGAGCTGGGCAGAACGTATTTGATCAGAGAGGACCAGGCTTTATAAAGAAATAGCTGGGGTATGTTGTTCTGGGGATCGAATCTGAATTCGAACTTGCACCTTGCAACCCAGTGAGATGGGAGAAAAGCATAATCAGAGCTAAATAAGTTCAGAAGAGAGCTGCATTTTTTTAAAGAGCTTTCAGAAAACTGTAGTCTATGGATTAGATTGAAAAAAAAAAAGGGAGACCATTCTCTGTATGGAGAAGCCACAAGGGGAAAAAAGCATAAAATCATGACTGAAGCAAAGACAGATGCACTTAGATACAGTGGAGAGAAAGAGAGAGAGATTAGAAATAACAGTTGATAAGAATCAGCAGATAAACAGATGTAGACAATTCTGGCAGAATTTGCAAGGCTGATATTTTTGCAAAAGTGATATAAAAATAAAGGATTGGAATATAGAGATTGTTTTAACAGATTTATGCTGGTATGAACACCACCAGTGTTAAATATAGCATTTCTGCCAGTGCCTGTTAAGGCCGGGTGGCATTCAGGGAACGGGGTGGCTTGTAGGTGTGCTATCAACTATTGGGGGCAGCCCTACCTTGGCCCTAGAATCATCCTCTTCCCCCATAAGAATCTTCAGGCAGGGAAAACAGCCATAGAATGTTTGATCAAAGATTGTGAAGAGAAAATCTGTAGTGGATGAGGAGTATCAGCCACTAGCATGGGCACTGCGTGGGAGGATGGGAGCAAGGGCTGAGCAGAAATATCCCCAAGTATTTGGGTCACCACAACCCATGGCTGATGGAAGAGTAACTTGTATTACTGAACTGTCAAGGAGTGTCTAGACAACCACAAAGTTTCTGTAACTCTCTGTTAGGGGCTGGTGGATACTAATGGGACATCAGGGAATATTATTACACATTAATTGGGAAAGAAGTACAAGCCTTGCCTCCAAAACACCAGACTTACCAAAATAAGCAGAGAAACCTTATGCTTAAACAACAGGGAATGCTGAGCCATTAGTGCTGGAATTTTAGAAAAGAGGAGAGTGCAAGACACAGCCAGTAGAAGAACAAAGATCCTTTCTTCTTAACCAATAAAGCGCAGGAGATTTTAGATCTGATACAGCAATATTATTACAGAGCCTTCTTATGGAAGGTATTGAGAGGCTATTCAGCAGGAGTGTTTGTGATTCCGATTGTCCACCTCTTCACAGATGTGCAAATGAAGAGACAACAGTGTCACATTCTATATCAGGAACCTTACCCAAAATTCTAGGAGTCTGTTCCTAACATGGTATGAATTTTCAGACAAGCTCTTGAAAACTCCTTTCCGTACAATCTAGTATTAGACAAATCATCAAGGAATAGGACTGAAATCTAAGTAAACTTAATGTGTCGGTAGAAGTTGCATATATTGCAGACTGGTGCGGACATCATTTTTCTTCTGATTTAATCATGTTTAAGTATCAGGAATTGCTTAGGAGCAGATTTCATTTTCCCAACTCCTCTCTTTAAGGAGCATACATTCTTGCCACAAGTCTAAGTACAGCAAGTTATTACTTCTTTAGCAATGTTGCAGCACTTAGTTTAATCCTGCTTCCCACTATCAGTAGCCAAGCTTACTTTGACCCTTTTTCATTTTTCACGCCTTACTGTGTCCTTCATGACCTTTTCTAGGAACAAAGAAAATACATCATTGCTTGAATCAAATCAAGTTCAAGATACAAATAAAGCCAAAAAGAGGAAGATAGCAGAGACCTCCAATGTTATTACCGAAACACTGCCCTGTGCAGAATCTGAACCAGTTGAAATTGAAGTGGAGATTGCCGAAGGGGCTATCGATGTGGAGGAAAATAACATTGAATCACTGGAGGAGGTGGCTTCTGCTGAACAGCCAATAAAGTATATACAGACCACAGGTACTTCAGATGACTCTGCTTTAGCTCTTCTGGCAGATATCACCAGCAAGTTCCGCCATGGAGAGAGGAAGAGTGAAATTCAGGAGGAATGTGAGAACCTTTCTGATCCAATGGGCAAACATGTGGAAGGCATTGAGATCATGGAACTTCAGCTGTCGCATGTCAACAATCTTTTCCATTGTGAAAAGTGCAATCGCACATTTAAATTCCTTTACCACTTTAAGGAACATATGAAAACACACTCCACTGAAAGTTACAAGTGTGACCTATGCAACAAAAGATACTTGCGCGAGAGTGCGTTGAAGCAGCACCTTACTTGTTACCACCTTGATGAAGGTGGGGCAAACAAAAAACAAAGACCTGGCAAAAAAATACATGTTTGCCAATACTGTGATAAGCAGTTTGACCACTTTGGACATTTTAAAGAACATCTTCGGAAACATACAGGTATCTGCAATTCCAGTTGTGTGCTAGCTAAATCTCTTTCTATAATTCTGTGCAGAGATACTAAACTCTTAATACCGAATGCATTAAGGCTGTGCAGTGCTTTAGATTCAAAGGCAAAAAGGTGCTTCAGAATGTGTAAGGGTGTCAATGTAGGTAAGTCTTGTTAAACCAAGCATATCTTTTCCCACAATTGTGCACCAATTATAGCTACTCGATCCAGGGAAAAGGCAAGAATAAGCCACAGACAGCCGAGGTTTCAAGTCCAAGGCTTGCAAGAGAAACTGGAAAATGTTTGCTTTTGTTCTTGGTTATCTATTATTTATTTTGCTGTTTGAAGTGGCAGAGTGGTGTTGTTTGCTTACAAAGACAAGCCAGGATATTTGTTACTTCTCGAGCGATTAATATGAGCATATTCTATGCTTTTCGG